TGAAGTCCCAACTGCTCCTGGCCCAGAAGGTGATGGAGGAGGAGGTTGTATGGACTGGCTCGGGGTGGGGGGTCTGCCGAGGCTGGGGCTCCTCTCCTCCTGCGGCTGGCTGGGCAGGAGCGCATGTCCCTTCTCGAGGCACCGTGAGTGCGGTTTGGGCTCTGGCTGAGCTCTGGAGGCTCTCAGCAGGCTCAGGGAGGCAGGGGAGGAATACAGGGGCAGAGACGAGCTATGCCGCACTGCCATGCTGTCGTGTGGGGCAGAGACCTCGGCGGCAGGAATTTCCAAGTGTGGATCTCTAACTGCAGGGATCCAGTGCTGTGGCTGTCAGTGACAGCAGTGACGCCTGGCAGCAAGCCGAGGCTAGTGAGGTCCTGCCTGCTTCTGGGTCCTGGGGGATGCCCAGGGGCTGCACCAGGCTGACCCAGGTCTCCTTTGCCTCATTGTAGAGGGAGCCAAACCACCAGGGAGCCCTTGCATGGTTGGCCCTGACCTAAGCTCAGCGTCCTTAGTGAGCAGCCAGGTCAGGAGCTGATGCAGGGTCTGGCTGACCATCTGTGCCAAAGTGTAACACCCACAGAGGATGCAGTCCTGCTACTCATCTGTGTTCTCTCCACTCCCGGCCTCCATACATCTGTCTAAAATGTGTCCTTCGCTTCTCATAGGAAGATCTCCGTGGCACAGTGCTCAGGGGCGCTTCAGAACCCCTTCAAGAGCTTGCCCTGGCCAGCTGGCGGCTCAGCCCCAAATCTGCAAGTGTCACTGTCATGTGGGCGCCTGTTAAAAAATATTCAGTTTTAAGTCCCCATGTGCCACTGGGTGGGCGTGGCAGCACTCCACAGCTGCCAGGACCTGACCAAACAGGAACCTGGCCTCCAGCCCCCCCAGGCCAGCTCATCATCAAGTGCACAAGCTCTTGTGCCTGGCTCACTTCCCCAGGCCGATGATACATTCATGCCTCGCGCTCTCCAGGAGGCCCCTCCCTCTTCACCTCTGCAAGGTGGAGGGGCTGCGGTCTTGCCTGAGCATCTTTACCACCATGATCTTGTGGAGGCGAGGTGCCGGGCGAGCCTCACCTGACCACAGCTGCCCTGGCCCAGGGTGTCCAGGAGCCGGAATCCCTCGATGTTTGGCTGCAAGGCTTCGGGGACTGCCATCAAGCCGGTGGTGTGTTCCTCTATCTACTCTCTCTAAACTACTCTCTCTACTCTGCCAATGACCACTTACTAAGTGACTACCCTGACTACGATAACTAGGAACAGAAAAGGATCTCTCAGGGGCCTGGCCACTGTCTAACTGAGCACTCTAGCTAGACTCATTAGGCTAACATTACAGAGCGGCAAGGCTACCTAAGCGAAACAGAAAACAAGAAAAGGAAAAACGCGGCCACTAATCGCACTAACAGTAGTTAGTCTGACAGCGCTGCCTAACTAAGCATGGCTGGACTGCGGAAATAAAAAGAACTGCAAACAAGATAAACCGGAGCAAAAACAAACAAACAAACAAAAAATAGGTGGAAATAAACAAACTAAACCAAATGGGGAAAAGAATAAACAAAATAAACTTAAGACACAAACAAACAGAGTCCCGGGGGCCTGGCCAAGGCGGCCACAGAGCCGGGATCACCGTGGACTGCGGGTACACAGCCACCTCCCGGGACCCCGATGGGGGACAGGCGGCCAGGACCCCTTCCCTGCTGGCTTCAGGCCCCCACCCCACTGACCCCCGACTCCATGGACCTTGAGCGCGGCCCTGGCAGTCTCAGGAGCCCAGGAGCTGGCAGCAGCTAGGGCGGCGGCTCATGGCGCCTCAGCCAGCCCCAGGGCCGCATGTGCAGGCCCCACGGGCCTCGCCCTCCCAGGGACAGGGCAGGGCCGGTGCCGAGGGTGACCAGGGGCTGTGGGAGCCACACGAGGGGCCCGCGGCGCAGCCGGCCACGGCCAGGGAGACTGTGCAGGTCACGGTGAGGCTGAAGCTCCAGAGAAGCTTTGATAAGTGGCTGGCTAGACCCCGGCTGGGGGCTGGGGGCTGGGGACTCTGGGGGCCTATGGCGGCAGAGGAGCAGTCCAGAGAGCCGCTGCGGGCCCCGCCCCCTCCGGGGGTGTCCACTCGACTCCCGGCCGCTCCCTTCCCGTTCAGCTCGGCGCTCCTGGGCCTGGGGGACAGAAGATGGCCGCCGGGCTGGGGCCTCTGCTGGGAGGGAGCCCCAGGCTCCTGGCTTCCGCTAGGTCCTTGCGGCTGTTGGGGCCGTTGGGGACCGAACCAGTGGGCGGAAGAGACCGAATCCCTCTCCTCTCTCCCTCTCCCTCTCCTCTCTCTCATTCTCTCCCCTCTCTCCTCGCTCTGCTCTCTCAACTCTGTTTTCAAACCAAATACATCTGGCAACAATCCTGGCTCCAGTTTCACAAGAGCGGAGCAACCCACAACAACGCCAAGACCATGGCGGCCTCGCAGGGTCAGGTCTCCTTCCTGCGGACAACCTCGCACGGAAGGAGGAAGCCCCGGCCTCATCAAGGTAAGAAGTGAGCCCCGCGACCCTCCATGGCGCCCCCAGCCCTGAAGCCCCTCCGTGCCTCCTGCAGTTCCCGAGCAGCCCGCTAGGGGCAGTCTAGCCCCCGTGTCAGGTGACTGTCCCCTCTGCACTGACCTGGGAAGATGAGTGCCCTCCTCCGTGCTGGCCAGGGATGCTGGGAAGTGCGATTGCTCAGTGATTTCCTGCAGTGCTGGTCCCTCCTCAAAGCTGCGGCAGTAACCACCATCCAAGGAATTCTCAGTACATTTTTAAAAGAATTTATTTATTTGAAAGAGAGAGAGAAAGAGTTACCATCTTCTGGTTCACTCCCCAAAGGGCCTCAATGGCCTGGGCTGGACCAGACTGAAGCAAGGAGCCAGGAGCTTATTCCTGGTCTGCCACATGGGTATAGGGGCCCAAGTACTTGGTCTCCTTCTGCTGCTTTCTATTGGGTCTGGATCAAAGTGGAGCAGCTGGGACTCAAACTATGTGGGTTGCCGGTGCTGTAGTCAGCGTCTTAACCCACTAGGTCACAGTGCTGGCCCCTAAAATACATTTTTATCACTTATGATGAAAAAAAAAAGAAGTGTAAAAAGTTTTCCATTAAGGACCGATCAAAACCCATCCTACAAATGAGGTTTAAGCTCTCTGAGTAAATAAAACAACACGAAACACAAGTTATTTTCAAAAGTGCACCAAAAATATAATTAAAAGCTTATTGAGGTACAAAAAAGTGAAACCCATGCAGAGTTTTTCTTAATGTGTTTAGTTTGTTTCAGTTTTTTTAATCCATGTATAATTTTTTCATAAAATGCATTTAATGAGCTTTTTAAAAACTCCTTGTATTCATGGATTTCAGCACGTTTCTACCAAAATAAGTGGATATTTGTTTCATTCTCCATGAATATTTTGAAGGGATCTCATGTATTTTCCTCCATTTTATTTGAAAGGCAGGTAGAAAAAGAGAGCAAGAGAGACAGAGAAAGACTTTCCACCTGCTGGCTCACTCCTCAGATGCCTGTGACAGCGAGGGCAGGGCAGGGAAAACCAGCAGCACAGAACCCAATCCGGACGTCCCCCGAGGGTGGCAGGGCCATGATCACCTTAGCCTCACCTGCTGCCTCCCAGGGACACAGAGCAGGACGTGGAATCAGAAGCTGAGCTGGGATGTGAACCCAGACACCCAGACATTGGATGAGGGCGTCCCAGGTGGCGTCCTACCCCCACAGCAAATACCTGTGCCCGCCAGTTCTTCTTATCAGTAGACAGAGTGGAATCCGCCCAGACACACTTGGGTTCCTGATCAGTGAGCCACTGATGGAGAACAAAGTATGGCTGTGCCAGAAGTCCTGGCAGAGTCTAGAATTCCCAAGTACGGGTGTTCTTTGATAGCCGTGGACAAGTAATTCTCAGACGGTAGCTAAAGCGTGGGGAAGCTTCCAACTGCAGCTCTGTTCTGAGACTTGGCTAAATCTTGCACTTCCAGAACGGATCACTCTGAAGCCCTGGCGTGAGGAGAAACACCCAGACTTCCGGTGGCTGAGGTGAGAAGTACTGTGACGTGATAAGGATAGTTTCTGCAGTGTTAAGTACGGATCACCTGGGGCAGATATTTTGAATAAAATGACACGAAAGAGTGCATTGAAAAGAATTGTCAGTAGACTCTGATGGATAAAAATACTTAAAGAATTTCTAAAATATCCTGTTTAAGGGCTGGTGCCGCAGCTCAATAGGCTAATCCTCCACCTCTGGCACCGGCACACCGGGTTCTAGTCCCGGTTGGGGTGCCGGATTCTGTCCCGGTTGCCCCTCTTCCAGTCCAGCTCTCTCCTGTGGCCCTGGGAGTGCAGTGGAGGATGGCCCAAGTGCTTGGGCCCTGCACCCCATGGGAGACCAGGAGAAGCACCTGGCCCTGGGTTTGGATCAGCGCAGTGCACCGGCCGCGGTGCACCGACCGCAGCGGCCATTGGGGGGGTGAACCAATGGAAAAGGAAGACCTTTCTCTCTGTCTCTCTCTCTCACTATCCACTCTACCTGTCAAAAAAAAATTTAAAAAAGAAAGTGTGTGAATGAAAGACTTGGTCAAAAAACCTAAAAAATCCTGTTTAGAACTATTGATTTGCTGCTGGCAGAACTTTGTTTAATGCACATCTTCCACTTGTTGTCCAGAGGTTTTAGAGCAGATGACATTACCTAGTTACAAAAAAGAAAAAAACAAAAAACAAACAAACAAACAAACAAAAAAACAGAACAGAACAGAACTGTGGCAGTAAACGTGTTTCTGACATGAGTAGAGGTGTGGTAGAGCCTCCCCAAGGCCAGAAAAAGGGAGGCCTCTGTCCTGGGAGGTAAGTGCCTGTTCCCTGCTTGCCTGTGAATGCTCCAACTGTGGTCCTTCTCTGCTTATATGGAACCTTTTCAGGCTCTGCTTGCAGGTTCAGAACCAAGGGGTTAACTCTTCCCATGCAGCTTACAGCCAGGATGTGTGAAAAAAAAAAACAAAAACAAAAAAACCTTATAATTACCTTCAGTCAGTGTTAGTCTTGTGGCTGCCATGGCACATTAGAATATCCAATCAGATGTGTGCAGGTCACCATTTAAGGGAGACAGAGAAGCTAACCATATATAAGGGAAATTCCTTCTTAATTAGAGGCTCAGGATTTAGGATAAGAAATTCTACTGGGCCTTAAGCCGGCATAATAAAAGCCTTCTTCCTGCTGAGAGCGCTTGCTGTCTTGTTTGGTACAGGAATCTTGCTACAGAACCACTGAATCTTGGAGTCCACAGGATGTGAGTAGGGCTGTTACAGGTAGCGGTACAGAAGCTGTTCAATCTCTGTCCTGCCTTTGAGGCCACACTGGCCCAAGCGCAAGGCAGGAAGTAAAGGCTTGGCCACTAGTGCTCTTCTCTGGGGACTGGCCCTGCCTCCAGCCACACCCTCGCCCTTGACTGATTCTGCCTCATCCCCAACAGGACTCCCATCCCCAGCCCTCACCCATGACCCCAGTGTCTCAGCAGCTCCCTTGTTACCTTGTGAAAGGCTTCACGTGGACACTGTAGAGCTGGAAATACAGGACCTAGACTTTGACTTTGCCTCCTCCTTGCTCAGGAACTCGGACTGGAGGTTGTGGGCTCTGCATCTGTAACGGGTACAGTGAGTATTGGGTTGTGGGGGCAGGTGCGGCAGTTACATGTGATGCGAAGGCCAGTGCTTAGTTCTGTGGTTGGGACACCATCATTAAGTACAGCAGGTGATGACTTTCTTGCTACAAAGAGGGGAAATCTGTCCATCTGTCAATCACTCAATCCAGAAATCAGCCATCAGTCCACAGGCTCACACTGGCTCATAGCACGTGCAACCACGGTTGGGGGTCTGGCTGGACAGGAAGCTCTGGGGGCCTCAACGGCAGGTCCTGGCTGAGACTCAGGAAAGGGTACGCAGAGGATAAAGGCTCCAGAGAGGAGCAAAGGGGAGGTAAGCAGCCTCCAGAGGCAGGGCCGGCGCCTCAGGGAACAGAAGTGGACCCCAGGGGCCGGGCAGTAGGGGAGGTGTCAGGGCTGTGGCTTCAGGGCTGTCTGTCCTGGGACCTGCTATGTGGACTCTTGGCTGTGCCATGTGGAGCTGATTGGCCTGACTAATGCAGGTGGCCCCTAGCTGTGTAGCTCCAGTGGGGTCTCAGGCCTCACAGGTAATGTCTTGGACAGAAGGTCCCACCACTCCGTGACCCAGATACTTGCACATTGAAATGACCAAAGAAATGTTGTATAGTACTGGGAACACAGCGCACGTCTCCACTCTGCCCCAAGTCCCCGGACTGGCATAGTTCACAGGGAGGGGCCAGGGCCGAGCCTCGTCGCCAGCCCTGAGCCTCCGTTCTGATTTCCGAGTTCTGACGCCAACTCCATTTCCACTTCTAGAGGGGAGTGAAGAGAACATTGAGCCCTGCAATTGCCCTGGGCCAAGGGCCCTGTCCTCCTGTCTCCAGGATGGTGCCCCACAGCAGGCCCAGCCTGGAGGGTCAGGTGGGGGGGGGCTGCAGCTCCAGGCCCCCAGGCTGAGCAGTACGGGCCCGTGTGGCACTTTGTAAGGGAAGGCTGCACCTGAAGTGAACCTGCTGCCCAGGGACCCCTGAGCCGGCTGCCTTGCACACCAAGACCTCCCACAAATTATTGTGAGCTCTTTGGCCCTGTGAGACCCCTCGGCCGCCTCCTGTGCTGGCTTTCTGGGAGCTGGCAGGTGACCCAGAACCACAGAGCTGTCTGGGAGGAGGTCCAGATGTCTCAGGTGTCCCACAGTCCCATGTGGCTTCCTCGATGCCTGTCAGATGGCCACGGCTGTGTTGACTGAGACGCTGGCGGGAATATCACCCCCAAATGACTTCCTGAAGAGGAGGTACTCTGGCCAGCGCCCTGTCTGGCTGGGCTGGGGCATAGACAGTGGGAAGGAGGAGGGTGTGTCAGGAGCTTTGGAGTCGGGGACACAGGGAGCTGGACACTAAGGAGTGGACCTGGCAGGGAGGCATTGCCCAGCCATGCTGGTCAGAGCGCTCCCCTGTACACAGCCCCTCCCTGGGGTCCCCATGGAGCGGGCCCTTGGTGGCTGTTTCTGGGAGCCCAGGGAGCATTTGCCTTGGGGCCTGGGGAGAAGACTGAGCCCATGGAAGCTGCTGTGGCTGTGAGCGGCCAGAGCCCTGGGAGCTCCACAGGGCACAGGGCCTGTGTAGCAGGAACCCCAGTCTCCTTCTACCCCCAGCTGGCAGCTTTGTGCACGGGAGACCCCTGTCCTGCTGGCCACAGGGGCAGTGAGTGGAGGAGACAGCAGGCTGGGACAGGGAAGCGCAGCCCTGTGGGAAGAGCGGAGGAAGGAGCAAGCCGTGGCCCTTGCGTGGGATGCCCAGTGTTGCAGAGCTGCCTGCTCAGGCCCAGGAGGCTGTGCGTGCTGTGGGTGTGAAACACACAGGTGTGGCTGGGGAGGGCGGGCCAGTCAGACACATCCCACATCTAGGATCAGTCATCCTGGAAACCACTAGAGACCCAAAGAGGGTAGACGCCGCTCAGAGTGGGACCAAGAGGACCGAGGTCTGGGCACAGAAAAGAGCCCTCGCAGCAGGGGACCCTGCGTGATCTTTAGCTGGAGTCTCCAGAGCTTTTTTTCTAGAGCCCAGAGAGTGGGCCAAGGGCGTTAATGCTGCCAAGGAAGCTGGGAGAACCAAGGCGGAAATTGTCCTCTGGTTGGTGGCCCTGACATTGGGAGCGTAGGAATAGGACATGTGTGTGCCTCCCTGCTGGGGGTGGTGGTGGACCTCAGACGTGGCTTCTCCCACACCCACAGGTGAACCTGCTGTGCTGATGCAGCTCCTGGGCCTGAGCCCAGCTGGAGGAATGCAGGTGCTACAGGGGACAGCGGGCAGCACGGTGGCATTGGGGGCACCAGGTACTGGAGCACACACGAGAGCTCTTAGTGTCAGTGATTGAGACCTGCAGCCTGAGGGCCGAAGCTGCCCGCCCACTGCCTCTGTGTGTGTGTGTGTGTGTGTGTGCAGTGTCCCTGGAACACAGCCGCTCGCACTGGTCCACGTGTCGTCTATGGCCCCTGTGAACAGCAACAGCAACAGTAACACGGGCAGTGGAGAGAGGAAGCACCCGCCCCCAGGGGCCAGAACCCTGGCAGTCTGGCTGCTCAGAAAACGTCCTGGCTTCTTCCACACTGGTTCCTAGACTCAGCCAAGGTCTTAGTAGTGTCAGCTACGCCAGTGTCACTCAGCATCCGTTGTCCATGCCTCCCCCAGGGAGGTGTGGCAAGGCAGACTCTGTTCCAGAGCAGGAGGGGCACTCGTCAGAGGGGCTCCCAGGAGGTGCCACTGCTCCAGATGCCAGGATAACTCCATGTGGGAACCCGGGAGTCCTTGCTTCCCCAACCCGTGTGCTGATCGGCAGGGAAAGGAGGGTGAGCTCCCCTCCAGGGCAGAAGGCACAGGTGCAGTGAGGGGCCTGAGACTGTGTGTGAACTCCATGGTACCTGGGGGTGCCCCGGGAGGTCACAGTCACTGTACCTCTGGCCACCTGGGTCATCTCCATGAGCCCTGAGTTAGAAGCTCAGAAGGGCATGTGCTAAACTCTGGAGCCCCTGGGGCAGCCCAGCATGGGGGAAGATCTCCAACCCTGATGTCCCCAGGACTGCCCTTCTGAGACCCACACCATCGCGGCCCAGCCCAGTACAGAGAAGCACAGCACTCAGCCAGCGGGACACGCTGAGCTTTAATGACTGATTCTACACCGTGAAGCTGGGCAGCAGTGGGCAGTCCAGGGACAGGGGCCAGGTGCCACTCAGGAATCCTGGAACAGCAGTGAGAGAGAGAGAGCAAAGAAGCTCGGAGCTGCTGAGCCCAGAGGAGCAGCCTCAGGCTCACGGTGGGAGCTGTTATCCCAGGGGAGAGGTGAGGCCTGGCCAGGTGTGCAGCTCAGTCTGCATCAGGGGAGACCTCCGAGCAGGTCTTGTTGAAGAGGTCAAACTTGGTCATCCAGGGCAGAGTGCGGACAGTGAAGAAGCAGGTGAAGCTCTGAGGACACAGCACAGACGGGACCGAGTTAGGAGGCCGGGGGCTGTGGGGCTCTGGCTCGGAACCCAGCACCCAGCTCAACCTGGTGACGTGGCCCTTCCCCAGGCTGCTGGCCTGGCCCCAGACCTGGTTCCACAGCGCGACCCCTGGGCAGCTGCTGACTTCCCCAGGGTCTGAGGGTTCTTGCAGACCCAAGGACACCAGTGTTTCCGCCCCTCCCAGGCCACATCGTGGACAGCGGTCTCCAGGAACGAATAGGGTGAGAAGTGTGGATCAGACCCCAGGAGGGGAGGCTGACACTGCTCCAGGCAAGAGCTACTCTCCAATGCATGCAACGGGCTAAGCCCTTAGCTAACCTCACCATGGGGTCCACTTGGTGGGGCAGAGATGTCTTTGTTGCAGCAGCACCAGCCCTTGGTATAAGGCGCTCAGCTGGGCCAGGACAGGGCCTGGGAGAAAGGACAGTGGGGACGCCCTCAGCCCCCATTGCCTGGTGTCCAGGTCAGTGCAGAAGACCCTGGAAATCCTGATGTAGGGCCTCACTGGGCTCCATTTGGAGAAGACAGGGGAGTGGTGGGAATGAGGACCAGTGAGGGGGCTTCCTTACAGGAGCCAGGGCTCTGGGACCAGGGACAAGAGGAGCCATCAGAGGCCATGAGGCCCAGGGATCAGGCACCTGCCCGTGAGTGGGCCAGGTTGGTCGGCCTAGATTGGTGTGGTCCTTCAAGGACGCCCAGGGTTCCAGGCCAGCAAGGCAGGCAATGAGAGACACAGATGGGTGATGAGATTGTGCCTGCTGTGGGCTCAGGCCTGCAGGTCCCAGAGTAGGGCTGGGTGGCCCCTGGCCCCCCACACCTCCCAGGCCGAATTCATAGACATGGGAAACAGGGAAGCTTTTGTGAGTCCTTACACGGCTCTGCTCGGGGCGGTCTTCAAAGGGGCAGTTCTCCGTGTCTTCCTCCAGTTTGCCACACGTGGTTCGGCGCAGCAACAGTTCCATGGAGAACACGATGTCAGGGAAAGCACTCTGTGCACAAGGAAGTCAGAGACACACAGCTCAGCACACCTAGAAGTCACTGTATTGTTCCGGTCATTCAGAGACCACCGTTCCTTAGCCCACTGGGGAGACCGAGTGCGGCCAAGTACCAGCTCCCGGGGTAAAGCCCAGGATGACCTCCAGCAGTTGTGGGAGATCAAAGCCAAGATCAGGTGAGCCTGATGGAGGAGGCAGGCACAGGCAGGCTGTCACAGGGCGTCCCTTCCTCCCTGGATCCTGTACCTCAGCCCCTCTCTCACATTGACTCTGGCCTTGTGCTCAGCAGGTGTCTCAGCCCTCCCACCTCCTCCTCCCAGGGCAGGGACCCAGAGCCTGGGGGTCTCTTTCTCGCTGAGGATTTGCTGAATCCTCTCAGGCTCTGAGAAGGGAATCTCAGTTCTGGGGGAGCTGCCAGTCTCACTCCTGCCCACATATAGCCAAGGGCCCCACAGGGCTCAGGAAGCAGCCAGACAGTGCCATCCTGGTTTCAGGAAACACCTTCTGCCCTCATGCTAAAGGCACCTTCACCTTTTCTGTCCATCTTCTCATGCCATCCTATTGCCTTCAGTCCGTGTGCTGCACCGCATGACAGCCATGGCCTCAACCCTCCCACCTGACCCAGCAGCTCAGGGTCACACTTCCTGTACAGGTAGCCAGGGGCAGCTCAACCCTCAGACTCACTCAGAGGGTTGCACTGAGGCTCTGGGCAGGGTTGGTCCTGGGCCCTGCTTCTAGGCTCCCAGTGCTGAGCGAGGCAGAGCCCTGTGCCGTGTCCCCCGTAGCAGAGGTCCCCGCTAGGCAGGTGCACCCTTTGTCCCTGCCTCAGCCCAGGTGGAAGTCACAGTCATGTTTGCCAGTTGACAGAGGACGGTCAGGACCCTGAGGGACTGAGGGAGAGTGTGAGTCAGGATCAGGTCCCTGAGCAGCGACAGCCCCAGGGGCCCTTAGCAGGTGCCAATCAGAGGAGAGGTGCTGAGCACCTGGCAGCTCTGGCACTGAGGGTGGGAAAGCTTTGCTTTTGAACCTCCCCCCAGCCCTGCTTCCAGCCTCTCCCCTCCTCCCCTTACCTTGCCCAGTTTCTTTCTGAATAGCTTGCATCCTTGACATATTTTCTCAGGCTTTCATCCTTGCATATTCTTTGTGTCTCTCTTCCCCTGTGTGGGTCCCCTTTGTGGCTTTTTAGGGTTTCCCACTCATCTAAAGGTAAACCAGATCATAACTTTGCATAATCTTGCAATGAATAATATACCTGGAATTTCAGTGGATTGGGGCCCAACACCAAAGACTTTCAAATCAATGTTTCCCAGAGCCTTAAACTCATTGTACTGAGAATGGGCTCAAAGGGTGAGGCAAGATGGTTGATGACAGCCCCTGTGTGTACCCGGCCCTCCCTGAGTCACCAGGCATGAGGAAAGGAGCTCACCCACCTTCTCCCTCCAGGATCCCAGGATGCGCTCCAGCCTGTAGGCCTGCTCGTCCTTGCTCTGCAGGTGGAAAGTGTACAAGGCAAACTCCACCGTGGGAGGGAAGTCATTGTCCTGGACTCTCCCTTTGTCCTGTTGGGCTCCAGAGCACCAAGTGTGGAGGCCCAGGAACCAGAAGCCGAGGAGAAGGGGTAGCAGGGCCCAGGGCAGAGCCCAACTCCCAGGCCGCCAGGACATTGCTGCAGGAGCCGGCACCTCTGCCTCCGTTCCCCAGCTCTGGAACACCCAGGAGCCTTCCGGGCTGGCCCTGGCCTTGAGCTCACGTGCTGGCCACAGACGCCTCCCTCCAGGCCTCCTCTGCCAGGACACCCTGTCCCTGCCCTCGTGTGGCCTCGCCTCCCCCAATCTGAGTGGGAACTCTGTCGTCTCTGCCCACGAGGGAGGAAGGACAGGAAGGTGCAGCCGTGGGAGCGAGGGGCCCAGCTGGGGACATGGCCCGGCCCCAGCTGCTCTCTCAGAGCTCCGTGGGTTAGAGGAGACCTGATTGTGGAGGCCCCAGGGCAGATCCTGATCTAGGACGCAGGCTCAAGAGGTGTGCGAGGCAGGTGCTCCCTGGGCATCCCAGGAGGCTCTGGGAGATGAGCCTGTGGTTCCAGAACCTTCCTAAGCATCACTGGTCTGCGATGAGGAGGTCATTGCCGAGGAATGGCTGCTGCCCTGCACCTCCCTTCCGTGTGTGCGTCAGCACTGGCCCTGCTGTCTGGGGCCGAGCAGCCTCGGCACAGAGACAAAAGCAAGACCGGCAGGTGCTGGCCCGAGGCAGTTGATGCATCCCCTTCAGGCGCCGCTGGCCCCGCTGCTTGTCCCAGACAGTGGCCTCTGAGGTCCAGGCACTTCCTCCATCACTTCTCTCGGGGGGATCTCCTGTGGGGCCACTTTTCAGCAGTGCAGCCCAGGGCTACGCCCATTCTGTCCCGGCAGGACACAGAAGGCCTGCAGGAGGAACCTGCCAACTGACCTGCAGAGTCCCCGGCAGCCCCGCTTCTTCTTCTGGGTGGCAGCCGCTGTGGGCCCGGACTCCTCCAGCTTGCTGGCTGCGATAACTTCCGGCTCACTGGCTGGGACAACTTCTGTCTCGGTGAAGTCCCAGAAGGTGATGGAAGAAGAGGACATAGGGACTGGACTTGGGGGGTCTGCTGAGGCTGGGGCTCCTCTCCCGCTGATGGCCGGGTGGGAGCGCGTGTCCCTTCTTGGAGGCATCAGAGTGGGGCTTGGGCTCCGACTCTGAGCTCTGCTGGCGCTCAGAAGGCAGGCTTAGGGAGGCAGGGCAGAAGGACCCAGCTATTTCCCTGGAATGCAGGGACAGAGACGAGCTGTCCTATAGGGCAGTGATGCCTGGCAGCAAGCCAAGCCCAGGGAGGTACTGCCTGTCTTCTGGGTCCTGGGGGATGCCCAGGGGCTGCAGCATGGTGACCTGGGTCTCCGTGGCCTCTCTTGGTGGGACCGGAACCACCAATGTGCCCTGGTAGATTGGGCAGTCGGCCTCTGCTTGGGCTCCATAGAGAGCAGCCAGGGGAGGAGCTCCTGCAGGGCCTGGCTCACCGGCCTCAGCAAGGTGTAGATGCCGCAGAGCACCTGCTCCCCTATTTCCTCGGTGTTCTCATCACGGAAGGGTGTTGTTGCGGTGAGCATGCTGAAGAGCACCACTCCTGTGCTCCAAACGGCCGCCATAAAAGGGTCATAGGTGCCTCCCTGAAAAATTTCCAGGGCGCAGTATTTTGGGGTGCTGCAGAATCCCCTCAGGCACTTGCCCTTGGGCAGCAGGCGGCTCAGGCTGAAATCAGCAATTTTTTTAGCATCATACGGCCATCCAATAAGATGCTGTTCAATTTTAGGTCTCTGTGTGCCACTTGGTGGGCGTGGCAGGACGCCACACCTGCCAGTGACCTGGCCGAAGAGTGACCTGGCCTCTGCCTCCCCCAGGCCACCCTGCTGCATGACGTGACGTCGCAGCGTGCCCTTGCTGGCCAGCTCCATGATGAGGTAGACTTGTCGTTCCATGTGTCTCACCTCCAGCAGGCGGGTAATGTTTCTGTGGCTCAGGCTCTTCAGCAGGGCCGCCTGCCTCTGCAGCCTCCCTAAGGTGTTGTGGCTGTGCTCTCGCTCCAGCACTTTGATGGCCATGCATTTCTTCATGGTGAGGTGCTGGGCAAGCCTCACCTAGCCATAGCTGCCCTGGACCAGGTTAAGAAAGGGAGTCTCCAATTCTGAAGGCAGGCCTCTGAGGTTCCCGAGTTCCCACAGGGCCATCAGAGGACAGAGGCTCACTAACTATCAGGTCCAGGAAGCTGCATGGGAAGTAGAGCAGCCAGGTTGGAGCTGGCTCTCCAGTGTGGTCCCCTGTGTGGGAAAGCGGCTGCTTATCCTGCTGCACCCTACTGCCAGGACTCAGCATGAAAATGTTGAGTTGTTACACTGTGTATAAAAGTGCTTCCACAGGTAACATTCCTAGTGTGCAGCAGTAACTTGGCCCCCGTTGTTGCATCAGCAGAACAAGCTGGGGCATAGTTTTGGGAGCCTCAGCACTGCCATGGGGGAGCAACAGCTGGACACATGTGGAGATAAGGATAGGTGACAAGTGACTTCTGAGGCCTGTCTGGAAGGCAACCAACACAACTTGCTCTTTCCCAAACTGCTGTCCCAGAGAGCTTTAAATTATCACATCCTCAAGCCACCTGGACCTCATAATGCTTTTCTTTGAATCCACCCACTTGCCTTTACCATTTGGAAGAAAAAAACAAAAAACAAAAAACAAAAAAACCAAAACCTCCAGGGACCAGCACTGTGGTGCAGGGATAAAGCCCTGGCCTGCTGTGCTTGCATCCCATATGGGTGCTGATTCCAGTCCTGGCTGCTCCACTTCAATCCAGCTCTCTGCTGTGATCTGGGAACAGAGTAGAAGATGGCCCAAGTGCTTGGGCCCCTGCACCCATGTGGGAGAACTGGAAGAAGCTTCTGGCTTCGGATTGCCCCAGCTCTGGCCCTTTTGGCTATTTAGGGAGTGAACCAGCAGATGGAAGACCTATCTCTCTGCTTCTGCCTCTCTGTAAATCTTTTTTTTTTTTATTTGACAGGTAGAGTTATAGACAGAAAGAGAGACAGAGAGAAAGGTCTTCCTTCTGTTGGTTCACTCCACCAAATGGCCGCTATGGCTGATGCTGTGGCGATTTGAAGCCAGGAGCCAGGTGCTTCCTCCTGGTCTCCCATGCGGGTGCAGGGACCCAAGCACTTGGGCCATCCTCCACTGCCCTCCTGAGCCACAGCAGAGAGCTGGACTGGAAGACGAGCAACTGTGACTAGAACATGGCACCCATATGGGATGCCGGAAGTGCAGGCGGAGGATTAATCAAGCAAGCAATGGTGGCGGCCCAAATCTGCCTTTTAAACAAATCTTTTTTTATTTTTTTATTTTTTGACAGGCAGAGTGGACAGTGAGAGAGAGAGACAGAGAGAAAGGTCTTCCTTTGCCGTTGGTTCACCCTCCAATGGCCGCCGCGGCTGGCGCACCACGCTGATCCGATGGCAGGAGCCAGGTGCTTATGCTGGTCTCCCATGGGGTGCAGGACCCAAGCACTTGGGCCATCCTCCACTGCACTCCCAGGCCACAGCAGAGAGCTGGCCTGGAAGAGGGGCAACTGGGACAGAATCCGGCACCCCGACCGGGACTAGAACCTGGTGTGCCGGCGCCACAAGGCGGAGGATTAGCCTACTGAGCCGCGGCACCGGTCTAAACAAATCTTTAATATATATATATATATATATATATATATATATAAAAAACTCCATAAAGCTACTGAAAATTTTAGAAGTAGTGTTTTGGCACAAAGGGACAGTAATTAAAAAGAAAGCCAATGGAAACAAAACTTATCCAATCCAGCAGAATTTAAGTGTTACCCAAAACAGGCAGAAAGTGTGCTCAGAGGCCTGAGTCATGACCTTGACCCAGGACCGGCTCTGTGAGGCAAAGACGCCCGGTATCCCTCCAGCCCCTGCCAGCGTGGGCTCACAGCTCCAGTGCACACAGACCTGGCCCCAGTTTCCCCACGTGTAAATAAGCTGTGGCACTTTCCCTGCGCCTCCCCCAGCACCAGGGCCCACCATGACCTCCGGAACCGCGGCCTCAGAGCAGACCCAAACCTGCGGTGGCCTTGGCGCGGATGTGGCCATAGCCATGGCCCAATTCTCGGGTGGAACTCTCTGTGGACTGCGGGTGCAGAGCCAATATGGGACCTGGACAGGGGCAGGCGGCCAGGATACTTCCCTGTAAGCTTCAGACCCCTACGACCCCTTGGTGCGCCCTCCCCAATGACCCAACCCCATCTTCCGCTGCTTTCCCAGGTGCATGAGCATGGAGTTGGATCAGCAGTGGAGCAGCCGGGACTCAAGGAACTGGTGCCCATATGGGAGCGCAGTCTACAGTCAGCGGCTTCACCCACTAGGACACAGCGCCGGCCCCTCTCAGTGCATTTTTATCACTTAAGATGAAAAAAAAAAGTGTAAAGAGTGACTGTTTTCCAGGCACTGGTGCCGTGGCTCACTTGGTTAATCCAACACCTGGTGTGCCCGCATCTCATACGGGTGCTGGGTTCTAGTCCCGGTTGCTCGTCTTCCAGTCCAGCACTCTGCTGTGGCCCGGGAGTGCAGTGGAGGATGGCCCAAGTGCTTGGGTCCCTGCACCCGCATGGGAGACCAGGAAGAAGCACCTGGCTCCTGGCTTCAGGTAGGCGTAATTCTGGCCATAGTGGCCATTTGGGGGGTGAACCAATGGAAGGCTTTTCTCTCTGTATCTCTCACTGTCTATAACTTTATCTGTCAAATAAAAAAAGTTACTGTTTTCCATAGAGCACAGATCAACACCCATTTTACTAATGAGGTTTAAGTTCTCTGAGTAGGTAAATAGCACTTCCTAAAGTGTGCCCCATAAATACAAGCAATAACTTAATTAGGTACCAAAAAGTGTTTAAACCCATGCAGAGTTTTTTTCTTTTCAGTGCACATTTTCTGTTAAATTTTGGAAGACACTCTCATATGCCTGAATTTCAAAAAGTTTGCCACCAAAATAAACTTACCCTTTAATTCCAGTTTCCATGAACTTTTTCGAGAACCTTCGGTCTCCTCCACGGATTGCACAGTAGAGCCAGCAGGGAGAAAGGGACCCTGCCATCTCTTATTTGAATCGCTCCACCCCAGTGGTCCTGTGAGCAGTTGCCCACCCACCTGTTTCCCTAAGGTGTGGTTATTAAAGGAAGGTTGGTCACACAGGCCGCATGGTCCTAAACCCACTGTAGACATCCACCCCCTCCCCAAAGAGGTCAGGGTCACGGCCTGCTCAAGATAAGGCCAGAGCAGGGACAGGGGCAAGGCATGGCTCTCCTGACGAAGGTCAGGGGCTGAATCCATGGTTTTACTTTCTTTGAGGCTGTGGGGCACCTTTTCCCTGGGATGTCAGTGGGAGAGGGGAGAAGGAATGGAGAGTGGTGTGTGTCAGAGAGGAAGCAGCCACTTAGTCTTTGATGGAAATCAGAAAGCTCTGTCCTCTCAAAGAGAGCAGGAAACAAACTTTGCCCTCCTAACACAGGCCAGGCCGGCCCTGAACAACACAGCCCTCCTGTCCATTCCCAGAAGTCTTTCAGCCATTGCCAAGGACAGGTGCAGAGGAGCCAGGAAATCTGAGGGGTGGGTGAGGAAGTTTCTGGAATTTCAGAGAAAGTTCTAATGGACCCGAGTTGTTTTCAGCAACCTGTGCTCTCTTCCGTGTGGGGAGCCCTCCCACCCCCTGGACCGAGCAGATGTGAGGTGAGAGCAGTGCTCTTCCCAGCCCCGTGTGCCCTTACCACCATTTCCTGGGTGCTCAGGAGAATGCACGTGACCTCCTGTGGGGGCCGCTGTGTCTGTGCTCCCTCCAGCGCCAGTGATGGGTCAGGGCAGCAGAGCTGAGCGCGCCCTTCTGTGCACTAAGTGTGAAAATGTTTCAGACAGGATCCATCTCTGTCCATCAGTCCTGCTCAGTTATGCTACTGTAACTCACTCCTGAGTAGCAGGGGAGGTTTCTGCTAAGATTTCCTTATGTATTTGAAAGGCCAAATGACAGAGATGGGCTGGGGGGAAAGGGAGAGGGGGACAGGGGGAGAGGGGGAAAGAGGATGAGGGGGAGAGGGGGAGAGAGAAAGAGAGAGAGAGCGTGTTCATCTGCTGGTTCAGTCCAAATGTCTACTATGGCTGGATATGGGACAAGCCAAAGCCAGGCGCCTAGAACTTCATCCATGTCTCCCACATGGGGGCCAGGGGCCCAGGTACTTGAGACATCTTCCAATATGGGACCTTGGTATAGCAAGCAGAGGCTTAGCTTGGTGTGCCTTAAAACCAGCCTCCCAAACCAAGGTTTCTTCTTGCTCCATATCTGGTATCAGTGAAGTAAAGGATTTTGCAACCCCTCAGAAAGAGGTACACATACAGGGCCAGAATGGTGGCACAGAGGGTTAAACAGCTGCTTACAATGCTGGAATCCATATGGGCGCTGGTTCGATCCCAGCTGCTTTACTTCCAATCCAGCTCCCTGTTAATGTCCTTGGGAAAGCAGGGTAAGATGGCCCAAGCACTTGGGCCCCTGCACCTCCATGGGAGACCTGGATGAGCTCCTGGCTTCTGGCTATGGCATAGCCCAGCCCCAGCATCCTAGCATCACAGCCATTTTGGGAGTGAACCAGTGGATGGAAGACCTCTTTCTCTGTATCTCTGCCTTTCTAATAAATAGAATAAATCTTTTTTTTTTTTAAAGTTACCACCACAATCCTCACGATGACAGTTGGCATCAGTGGGTATGGTGATGTGTAATCTCTTAGTGTTTTCAACATATTCTTTTGAACTTTGAGTTCTCCTTACCCTACTAAAGCCTGTTGGGCACGATATTCTATCAGAATGCAAATGCAGAACGATTGACAGCCAGGTTACTCATCCTTAGAGAAACTGTCTACAAAATGTGGTTTTACAGGGGCCACAAATCACATAACACCACGCTGACATGGCCTGCAAAGTCCTGGGACCCAGGTACAGCCTCCTGGCTTGGTCAAGCCTGTATTTAGATGAAGCCAAACAGACAGGCTGTGAGATATGGGGTTGGAGAAGGGGGCGGCGAGAGTGAGAGGTTGAATGGGAATGACTCTGTGTCCTGGAGATCTCGAAGCCCAGGTCCTAATGCTGGTTTGGGAAATTTCACCCTCAGAACTTGGCAGAATTTCACTATCAGTATCTTTTCCAGCCCACAAGTTAATAAAGTGTCTCAATTTTCCCTCTCATTCTTTCTGTGCTGTTTTCCTGTTCTCAAGTTGGTTGAAGAGAGATCATTCTGGAGACTATGAGCAGCTTTCTATTGTGCTGTGGGCTCTGTGAGCTGGCATAGAGTGTGGCTCTGGGGGTGACCCGCGGCTGTCATTCCACACTCATCGCTGGACACCCTGGCCCGTGGCAGTTCCAGCCTTTCCCTGGACACTTTCTGCTGCCTCTGACCTGTGCCCGTGTGGGGCTGTGTGCTCACAGCACAGTCACACACTGTAACTGTGGCCTCACTTCTCCACTCGAGAACAAGGCTGTGTATGTTCATGGGCATACAAGGGCACTGCAGACAGTCTGTGGAGGAATGGACTAAGGGGCAAGTTTAGTTTGGTTCATTTTTTATTGGAAGCTGTGCATAATTTTTTATAACATGCACTTCATGAGCTTTTTGAGGACTCCTTGTATTAATGGAGTTCAGCACTTTCGTATCAAAATAAACTTAATTTTTATTCTATTTTCCATAAACATTTTGAAGGGACCTCATGTATTTTCCCCCATTTTATTTGAAAGGCAGGTAGAAAAAGAGAGCAAGAGAGACAGAGAAAGACTTTCCACTGCTGGCTCACTCCTCAGATGCCTGTGACAGCGAGGGCAGGGCAGGGAAAACCAGCAGCACAGAACCCAATCCGGACGTCCCCCGAGGGTGGCAGGGCCATGATCACCTGAGCCTCACCTGCTGCCTCCCAGGGACACAGAGCAGGATGTGGAATCAGAAGCTGAGCTGGGATGTGAACCCAGACACCCAGACATTGGATGAGGGCGTCCCAGGTGGCGTCCTACCCCCACAGCAAATACCTGTGCCCTCCAGTTCTTCTTATCAGTAGACAGAGTGGAATCCGCCCAGACACACTTGGGTTCCTGATCAGTGAGCCACTGATGGAGAACAAAGTATGGCTGTGCCAGAAGTCCTGGCAGAGTCTAGAATTCCCAAGTACGGGTGTTCTTTGATAGCCGTGGACAAGTAATTCTCAGACGGTAGCTAAAGCGTGGGAAAGCTTCCAACTGCAGCTCTGTTCTGAGACTTGGCTAAATCTTGCACTTCCAGAACGGATCACTCTGAAGCCCTGGCGTGAGGAGAAACACCCTGACTTCCGGTGGCTGAGGTGAGAGGTACTGTGACGTGATAAGGATAGTTTCTGCAGTGTTAAGTACGGATCACCTGGGGCAGATATTTTGAATAAAATGACACGAAAGAGTGCATTGAAAAGAATTGTCAGCAGTCTCTGAAGGATAAAAATACTTAAACATTTAAAAAAAATCCTATTTAGAACTATTGATTTGCTGCTGACGGTTCTTTGTTTTAATGCCCATCTTCCACTTGTTGTCCAGAGGCTTTAGAGCAGATGACATTATCTAGTTTCAAAGGGAAAAAAAAAAAAAAGAACTGATAGTAAACATGCTCAGAAATGAGTAGAGGTGTGGTAGAGCCTCCCCAAGGCCAGAAGAAGGGAGGCCTGTGTCCTGGGAGAGACATGCCTGTTCCCTGCTTGCCTGTGAACGCTCCAACTGTGGTCCCTCTCTGCTTATATGGAACCTTTTCAGGCTCTGCTTACAGGTTCAGAACCAGGGGGTTAACTCTTCCCATGCAGCTTACAGGCAGGATGTGTGAAAAAAAAAAACCCACATCTTCAGTAACTACCTTCCCATGTGTTATATGGTGTCAGTCCTGTGGCTGCCTTGGCACATTAGAATATCCAATCAGATGTGTGCAGGTCACCATTTAAGGGAGACAGAGAAGCTAACCATATATAAGGGATATTCCTTCTTAATTAGAGGCTCAGGATTTAGGATATGAAATTCTACTTGGGCCTTAAGCAGGCATAATAACAGACTACTTCCTGTTGATGGCCCTTGCTGTCTTGTCTCAGTACTGGAGTCCTGCTACAGATCACTGAAAATTGGAGTCCACAGGATGTGAGTAGGGCTGTTACAGGTAGCGGTACAGAAGCTGTTCAATCCCTGCCCTGCCTGTGAGGCCACACACAAGGCAGGAATCCAAGGTTTCTGTGCAGACATTGGTGGGAGTCAAATTGTTAAAGCCATTGAATTAGAAAGAAAACATTGGGGGAAGAAGGAAGGGAACCTGTGTTGCTTTAGCATTCCTTTACAGAGCTGTAGCCATTGTGGTTTCATGGACTCAGATATCATGGCATAGCATTCTAGAAATGTTGATGAAATCTGATGGATTGAGAGGCACGGATGCTTGGCGGGCAGGGGATGAAGGCTTTGGTGAGATGAGCAGAAAATGGCATTACCCTTCCTTTCCAGGGGACAGCAAAGGCCGCTCAGGAACGAGCAGAATGTGGCAGTGTGCATCTGCAGTGAGGAACTGGTAGGGTCATAGCCGTAGGGAGCATTTCTCTTCTGCTGTTCTATTTCTGTAGCTAGGAGTCGGCTTTGTACAGTCTGGGCAGCCTGGACAGGGCACAGAGCAGCTGCGCAGTTCAAGACAGGACCGGCCCCATGCCATGGCCTTCCCCTGGTTGGGACAGATGTGGTGGAAGAGGATCTGTAACTGCAGTCAGCAAGACAGAGTGCATGTGGGATCCACATGGCAGAACCTTTCGGGAGGCAGGAGGTAACCAGCAGAGCAAGCTCTCTCTCTCTCTCTGACCTTTAAAAAACAACAACATAGGAATGTAGTTTTCTTGGCCTTGGCCAGACCAACTGGGTTCATCAAGTCCTAGGGTGAGTGGACAGAGAACTTGGCTTTGAACAAAGCCTTCAGGGCATTCTGGATGCTAGCCCTCTGCAGGTCGGGTGTAGCTGGGGATTCCTGCAGAAGACACACTCATGGAGAGGAGGTCAAGTCTTCTTTGCAAAGTGCAAGTTGTTGAATCTTTAGTTGGAATCTCCAGAGCTCTTTTTCTAGAGCCCAGAGCATGGGCCAAGGGCGTTAATGCTGCCAAGGAAGCTGGGAGAACTGAGGCGAAAATTGTCCTCTGGTTGGTGGCCCTGACGTTGGGAGCGTGGGAATGGGACATATACCTGCCTCCCTGCTGGGGGTGGTGGTGGACCTCAGACGTGGCTTCTCCCACACCCACAGGTGAACCTGCTGTGCTGATGCAGCTCCTGGGCCTGAGCCCAGCTGGAGAAATGCAGGTGCTGCAGGGGACAGCGGGCAGCACGGTGGCATTGGGGGCACCAGGTACTGGAGCACACACGAGAGCTCTTAGTGTCAGTGATTGAGACCTGCAGCCTGAGGGCCGAAGCTGCCCGCCCACTGCCTCTGTGTGTGTGTTTGTGTGCAGTGTCCCTGGAACACAGCCGCTCGCACTGGTCCATGCATCCTCTATGGCCCCTGTGAACAGCAACAGCAACAGTAACACGGGCAGTGGAGAGAGGAAGCACCCGCCCCCAGGGGCCAGAACCCTGGCAGTCTGGCTGCTCAGAAAACGTTCTGGCTTCTTCCACACTGGTTCCTAGACTCAGCCAAGGTCTTAGTAGTGTCAGCTACGCCAGTGTCACTCAGCATCCGTTGTCCATGCCTCCCCCAGGGAGGTGTGGCAAGGCAGACTCTGTTCCAGAGCAGGAGGGGCACTCGTCAGAGGGGCTCCCAGGAGATGCCACTGCTCCAGATGCCAGGATAACTCCATGTGGGAACCCGGGAGTCCTTGCTTCCCCAAACTGTGTGCTGATCGGCAGGGAAAGGAGGGTGAGCCTCCCCTCCAACGTGGAAGGCACAGGTGCAGTGAGGGGCCTGAGACTGTGTGTGAACTCCATGGTACCTGGGGGTGCCCCGGGAGGTCACAGTCACTGCACCTCTGGCTGCCTGGGTCATCTCCATGAGCCCTGAGTTAGAAGCTCAGAAGGGCATGTGCTAAACTCTGGAGCCCCTGGGGCAGCCCGGCATGGGGGAAGATCTCCAACCCTGATGTCCCCAGGACTGCCCTGCTGAGACCCACACCATCGCGGCCCAGCCCAGTACAGAGAAGCACAGCACTCAGCCAGCGGGACACGCTGAGCTTTAATGACTGATTCTACACCGTGAAGCTGGGCAGCAGTGGACGGTCCAGGGACAGGGGCCAGGTGCCACTCAGGAATCCTGGAACAGCTATGAGAGAGAGAGAGAGAGAGCAAAGAAGCTCGGAGCTGCTGAGCCCAGAAGAGCAGCCTCAGGCTCGCCGGGGGAACTGTTATCCCCGTGGAGAGGTGAGGCCTGGCCAGGCGTGCAGCTGGGTCGCAGTTAGAGAAATTCCTCTTCGCAGATCTTCTTCTCGAGTTGGAACTCAAGTGACCAGGGTGGAGTGTTCACGGTGAAGAAGCACTTGAAAGTCTGAGAGAAACACAAGAAGCAACAGTGAGGAGACTGGGGGCTCTTGCAGCTCTCAGCAGGAACAAGTGGCTGTCTCCATCATAGCTTCTCATGGGGTATGTGTGGGGCTTGAAGATGGGACCACCCAGCCTGAGCGCTGGCTGTGTCTATCTTGGGATCCAGCCTTAACCCAGAACCCTTCTGTGGGTCCCTTCTTTACCCAGTGGCCTTTGGAGGAGTTCCCAGACTGTCTGCGGGATTCAAGCCCCCATGAGCAGTGAGAATTTTTCATCCTAGGGTGGCTGCATTGAAGCCTTGGTTAATTGTGACTTCCATCTCTGAACTGAAGGTTTTCCAGCCCTACGTGCTGTTGGCCAGTGATGGGCATTCCTTGTCCTTAACCCCAGGACAGCACCAGTGACTGAGGGCATGGAGATCCTCCCCAGCTTCCATCTGCTCCCACTCTGGTTCAGTGTAGAGGATGCTGGGAACCTCACATCCAGGCAGAGGTGGTGTTGGACTGCACCAGGCTCCTTCTGAGGAGGGCAGGGGAGGGATGTGGAAGAAGAGCAAAGAGCAGATGTCCTCTTCTTAGATCACAATGCCAGGAGCATGGGTGATGGGACAAGTCAGAGGCCACGTGGCTCAGGAAGCAGGTGCAGTGGTGTGAGTGGGCAGAGCTGGGAAACTCAGATCGGCCAGGTGCCTACAAATGGCCTCCTGGGCTGCCTGCCTGGTGAGGACATGGGCAATGTGTGTGTGTGTGGTGCGTGCTGTTGGCTCAAATTTCTGGGTCTTGCAGAAGGGCTATGCCTGGTGCTCCCGCACCTTGCTCCACCCAGGCCAAGCTCACAGCTGGGAAAGTGCAGGAAGCCAGAATGCTACCTTACCCGGCTCAGCTCGGGGCTTTCTTGAAAGGGGCAGTTTTCAATGTCCTTTTCAGTTTTCTTGCAGAGGGTTCGGTGCAGTCTCAGTTCCATGGAGAAGACAGTTGGGAAGATCTTCTGCAGAAGACAAAACATGTAAAACACACACCTCCCTCTCACTCCCTTCAGTAGGCTGTGTTCAGGGTGGGCAGAGGCCCACACGCTCTGCTCCATCGGGGGAGCTTGCCTGTGGGCCTCGTGTCAGCTCCTGGGGTGAAATTCACAGACTGCTTCTCTGATAGGGACAGGGAAGAGGAAAGGGCAGGCGTACCTGGAGGAGGAGGCCAGGCACAGGCGAGCAGAGCCAGTGTTCCGTGCTTCCTGTCTCAGATCCACGTCCTGCCCAGGGACGTGTGGCTTCACTCGCAGTGGGTGTCTCAACCCACCTGGAAGTCCCAGAGAACAAGGAGCAGGTGCCCAGGGGCTGCTGGCTCACCCACAATTTGATTCCTATCTATAGGGAGCTATCCATCTTTCCCCCTTCCACAGCAAGAAAAAAAGCCATATATTGATGTTCCCACACACAGGTCGTTAGGGAACCAGTGGTTGGTTTAAGAAACAACTTCTGCCTTGATTCTAAAGGCACTCTCACAGTGTTTTGGTCATTCCTCTCATTCCATCCTGTTTCATTCGCCCCATATCCTCCACCACTCCCCTTCCATTGGCTCCAACCCAGCAAAAGTCTACATGGGAGGCTCCATGTGGAGAGAGCCTGAGGCAGCTTAACACGGAGGACGGCACACAGGCTCTGTGTGCACTGAGGCTCTGGGCAGGGTTGGGTCCCTGGGCTGATCAAGGCAGAGCCCTGTCCCATGTCCTTCATAGCAGAGGTCCCCACCAGGCAGGTGCACCCCTCACTCCTGCCCCAGCCCAGGGGGACGTCGTAGTCCGGCTTGAATGTTGACAGAGGACATTCAGGAGCCCGAGGGGACTGAGCGAGAGCATGAGTCAGGGGTGGGTCACTGAGCAGAGACAGCAGGAGCAGGTAGAAGTCAGAGGAGAGGTTCTGAGCACCCAGCAGCTCTGGGGACTGAGGGCGGGAACACCTTGCTCCTGGAGACCTCAGCTTGCGCGCACTCTCTCTCTTTCCTTTTCCCTCCCTCCCCCCCTCACCTCGCCTCCCTCTCTCTCTCCCTCGTTACCTTCTCTCTGTCTCTCTCCTACTTAATGCTTGTGCCTCCCCAATTTTTCTACTTTTTTCTTCTCATATTTTGTCTTTGACAGCTTTCCCAGTCTCACTATGGTCATTTTCTCTTTCCTTGCTTTGTAGCTTCATCACTTCAGTCATCCTTATTTTAAATCCATCATTCAATTAGTCATAGGAATCCAGATCACTGAAAAGTCTATCTTGCACAACAATCAGTGTTGACCTTATTGAAGGGAATTTATAAGTTGTCATTTTCTACAAACCGAATCCATCCAAAGTAGCTTGTATTTTCACCAAGTATTGCCTGCACATGCTGAGTCGGGATCCCTTGATCAGAATCCCCTGCCTGGGGCCAGAGCTGTGGCATAGTGGGTAAAGCCGCTGTCTGCAGTGCCGGCATCCCATATGGGCGCCGATTCGAGTCCCTGCTACTCCACTTCTGATCCAGCTCTCTGCTATGGCCTGGGAAAGCAGTATAAGATGGCCCAAGTCCTTGGGCCCCTGCACCTGCATGGGAAGCTCCTGGCTTCGGGTCGGCACAACTCTGACCATTGCGGCCAATGGATAGAAGATCCCTTTCTCTCTTTGCCTCTCCTTCTTTCTCTGTGTAATTCTGACTTTCAAATTAATAAATAAGTCTTAAAAAAAAAGAACCCCTGCCCGTGCCGTTCCTCCCTGAGTAGCAGGGGTATTAGGGAGAGCAGGAGACAAGGAGCTCACCCACCTCCTCTTTCCAGAATTGCAAGGTGCGTTCCAGCCCGTATGCATACTCGTCCTGCATCTGCTGGTTGAAAACTTCCAAGGCAAACCCCACCGCTGCACTGAACAGGGGATACTTGGACTGTATACTCAGAATTTCCCTTTCCTCTTCAGAGCACCATGTGTGAATGCTCAGGAACTGGAAGCTGAGAAGGGGCAGCAGGGCCCAGGGCAGAGCCCAACTCCCAGGCCGCCAGGACATTGCTGCAGGAGCCGGCACCTCTGCCTCCGTTCCCCCAGCTCTGGAACACCCAGGAGCCTTCCGGGCTGGCCCTGGCCTTGAGTCCAAGTGCTGGCCACAGACACCTCCCTCCAGGCCTCCTCTGCCAGGACACCCTGTCCCTGCACTCGTGTGGCCTCGCCTCCCCCAGTCCGAGTGGGAACTCTGTCATCTCTGCCCACGAGGGAGGAAGGACGGGAAGGCGCAGCCATGGGAGCGAGGGGCCCAGCTGGGGACATGGCCCGGCCCCAGCTGCTCTCTCAGAGCTCTGTGGGTTAGAGGAGACCTGAGTGAGGAGGCCCCAGGGCAGATCCTGATCTAGAGGTGTGGGAGGCAGGTGACCTCTGTGCACACCCCAGTTTGTGCAAAGACACAAAGGATGAGTAGGAGGAGAGAGCCTGGGTGCCCCAGAGGCACCGTTACCCAAGGAAACATGTTTGTGTCGACAGAGCAGCAGGTGGGCAGGGAGCCCTGCACCCCAACTCTCCTGAGTTCTGGAGCTGATGGGGGGAAGGGAGCTGCTTTGGGAGGGTGGCGCTGGGAGCCAGGGGTGACACTCAGAAGCAGGAGGTCCCTTGACCCGGGCCCCAGCTCACGGAGTGCAGCTTCTAAGACTAGGGGCGGCCACCATGTGTGTGTTGAATATATGATGAGTGGCTAGCTGTCAAGAAAGAGTGGCCAGAGTTGGCTTCCCTGTGTCCATTGGGTGGTCACTGGTGCCCCCTGGTGGTCTTAGGCATTGCAGCGCCCTGAGCACAGTCTGGAAAACCTGTGTTCTAGGATGGGACCAAAGTAACTTCCAGGCTGGAGCAGCCAGGAGGGCTGAGAGACAGAGTGAAGCCCTCTGGGAGGGGAGATGTGGACTGGGAAGCAGGGGAGTCCTTCTAGAAGCTCTTGAGAAAGCAGAATTCTAAAGTAAATTTCTATGGGTACATAGTGTGACATCCATTTTGTTTTGTTGTAATACACATTGTCCATGGGTTTTTTGAGGTCTTTCTGTATGCATGGATTTCTGGATGCATGATGCACTTTCTGCATCAAAATGAGGTTAAATTTTTTATTTTTTATTTTTATTTATTTTTTGACAGGCAGAGTGGACAGTGAGAGAGAGAGAGAGACAGAGAGAAAGGTTGAAGTTAACTTTTAATTCCATTTTTTTTTGCACCACCATTTTGAAGTCCCCTGGCACTCCTGTAGCATTGATTGGCAGCTACTTGTAAACCTTGCAGGGCACCAGCACCCTCTGAGGCCAAGGTTGGCAGCCATGTCCCTGACCCCGCCATCATCCCGGTGTGCGGCCCACGGAACTGAGCAGAACCAGGAGACTAGTGTCCTCCCTTGGCGGTGGGTGTCAGGTATAGGGCAAGTGAGCAGTAACTCAGCTTGAAGGGCACGGGGGTCGGGAGGTGAGGCACAGGGCGTTGGGTTGGAGCATCGTGCTCAGTGGTGAAGAAGAGAGGGATTCTAGATGCAAGTGTCAGGCCCTAGGCTGGTGCCTCTGAGCGGCAGAGAGGCTGCTTGGAACCGAACATCCTGAAGCCTGCCACAGTAGTCCCTTGGAGCCATGGGCCTCCCCAGGAGCTCCTGCTCTCAGGCCCTTGGCTTGTCCACCTGCAGGGCACCCTGCTCCATCACAAGCCCTCCAGAGCTCCATGTCTCAGCTCCCCCTCTCCTGTCCCTGTTCGTGGGGGGTTGTGCTCCTTCTGCCTTACCCTCCACGCACCTTTGTGATTCTTCCTTTTCCAGGGCAAGTACCCACCATCTCCTACCAGACCGTGCAGCCCAGCAGGGAGATAAAATGCCACCCACAGAGGCCACGTCTTTGCCCCAGCAGCTCTGAGGCCACAGAACCTGCAGCTGACGCTTCAGCAAATGGTCTCAGCCAAGGAGTAAGAGCGCCAAGTCTACAGGTGGGACAGATGCATCGGCCATTGTAGAAATGTGTTTGTGGGGTTTGTTGGGGGCCATGGAGTTTCCATGAGAACACCTGGCTGGATGGATCTGTGGGTGCCCTGGCAGATGCTGGCGGCACCCATCAGCTTACTCGGTCTCTGCCAAAGGAGGGGATGGAAACCCCCGGGGGCTGCTCTGCAAATTGGCCATGGAGTCCATGTTGGTGAGTAGATGCCCATGGGCACTGCAATGGAGAGAGCATACAGGCAACACTGGGACCTTGTGTACCTGCGGGTCACATATAGCCACAACTCCCACCCAGCCCTGGGGCCGCAGTCGTGCAGTGCCTCTCAGCCTAACAAGGCTGCAGGGCCAAGCATGGCCTCCCGTCTCAGGCTGGGGGAGGCTGGTGCCGAGGACATGGGTGAAACACTGTGGAGGCCCGGATAGAACCCACTGACGGACCCATGGCTGCCCACCACAGCGCTCTGCCTGGCAGTCCTCTGTGGGATGCCTTCCCCTGTTGTCTCCATGAACCCTTACTCAAGTCACATGGCCCAGGCCAAACGCCACCCTTTATTCTGAAGCTCCCTGCTTGAGAGAGTTCTTTCTCCCTAAGCCAAGTCGCCAGCACGTGTGGCCCTGTCTGTCTCTGGGGACAGGGGGTGGAGGAAGCAGGGCTTCTGTGGGGGCTCCATCTTTGCATCGCCGGCACCACGCACTCCTGAAGTTCTCGTAGGAAGCCCTCAGGAACTTCCCTCGGAAGTGGGCCTGCCTCCCTAGACCCAGCCCTGGGCTTCTGGAAGGTGCCTCTGGGTACTCTGTAAGATCTGAAATGATCAAGACCAAGCCCCCAGCCCTTTCTGAGAAGCTGGGGGTGGGGTGGGGTGGCCAACAGGGTCATGCTGCTCTGCCGAGCGTCCTGTGACCCTGCAGCATGGGCCTTTCCTACCCTCAATGCCAGCCCACACCACCAGGCTCACTGCCTGTCCCTGGGTCCCTGGGTCCCTGGGTCCCTGCCTAGTGGGGCTTCAAGGTCCAGGATGGCCTGTTTGGCTTCCAGACCACTTTTTTTTTTTTAAGATTTATTTATTTATTTGTAAGGCAGAGAGAAGGCAGAGACAGAGACAGAGAGAAGTCTTCCATCTGCTGGTTCACTCCCAGGTAACAGCAATGGCCAGAACTGGGCTGATCTGAAGCCAGGAACCAGGAGCTTCTTCTGGGTCTCCCACGTGGGTGCAGGGCCCCAAGGACTTGGGCCATCTTCTACTGCTTTCCCAGGCCATAGCAGAGAGCTGGATCAGAGATGGAGCAGCTGGGACTAGAATCGGCCCATACGGGATGCTGGCACTGCAGGCCAGGGCGTTAACCCGCTGCACCACAGTGCCTCTCCCCGCCCCCTTCTTAAGGGCCCTGCACCTTCTGCTTCCTCCAGGGAACCCCTTGGAAAGATGCAGATTCTGTAGGCTCCCCCTATTGGTAAACAAGAAAGTGTCTGGACTACAAGGGATTCAAAGAAAAAAATGGATGGGATTCAGCAGGGAAATGCTCCTGGCTCCTGGCTTTGGCCTGGCACAGCCCTGGCCATGACCTCTCTCTATCCCTCTCTTTCTCTGTAACTCTGCCTGTCAAATAACTAGAAATAAATTTGAAAAAATGGCCGAGCAGCTGTTTGGCCTGGTGGTAAAGAAGCCCATATCCCACATCAGAGGGCCTGGGTTTGATTCCTGGCTCTGGCTCCTGACTCCAGTTTCCTGCCAATGCAGACCCTGGGAGGCAGCAGATGCTGGCTCAAGGAGCTGGGTTCCTGCCACCCATGTGGGACACTCGGAGTGAGTTCCTAGCTACCAGATTCCGTCCCTTGGCTGTGGGCATCTGGGGAGTGAATGAACAGATGGGAGCTCTCCCTGCCTCGCAAGTAAACATGTTTTAAAAGTCTTTTAAGTGGCAGAAGGAAAATATAGGGGTAGAATGCTGGGACAGACATTGGGCCGTTGAGACAACACTTGGAACAGCACTGTATCCTAGCTGTGTTGCTTCTGATATGGCTTCCTGATAGTGCACTGGGAGGCAGCAGATGAGGGCTCAGGTACGTGGGTCCCTGCCACCCATGTGGGAGACCTGGAGTGAATTCGGAGTCCTCGCCTTTGGCCTGGCGCAGCCCCAGGTCTCGCACACCTTTGGAGAGTGAATCAGTGGGTAGAAGAGATCGTTCTCTCTCATTCTTTCTCTGCCTTTCCAGCAAAATGGAAATAAGTAACATTCTTATTTCTAGAAAAGGAGTAGCAACTCCCAAAGATCCACTTCTTTTTTCTGCTCCTGAGGGCTCATCCAGGGGTTGCCATGACAACTGCAAACAGTGATTTTTTTTTTTTTTTACTATGCTAACGAGTTACAAGGGCGAGTTTAGTGAGGGTTGTGGTCTCCTTGAGGTTAGGGTAAGCAGCTTCTTGGAGTCAGCTATCTTGAGCCTGTTCCTTTGCCTGTGTCTTATTTTTTAGCCACTTCCCGGTGGCTGGAGCAGGGGCTCACCACCTGCTCTCTCATCATCACCTGCTGCCTCCCAGGGTGCAAATAGGCAAGAAACTGGATCAGAAGTGGACCAAGGCTCAAACTCCAGCACCCCGAGGCAATTTAATTTTCTTTCCTGAAAACTCCCAATCATTGGTTGAATCTCCAGATGTGGAACCCAATGTTCGGGGGTCCCGATGATCCTGGAGGGTCCCTAGGAGCCCCTCCTGCCTGCCAGGCACTCTCCTTGGTTCTTTTCAGGAGCTGACTCACCCGAAGCCTCAGTCTCAGGCTCTTAATACTTTGTATAGGCTTCATTTCTTATGACTTGATGCTTTTACTCAAAACCATATTTTTTCTATCTGTAGATCCAGTTCCTTCAATATTGTTAGTGGACAATTGTTAGCCCTTGCTGCTTGCCATTTGGACATCCAACTCAGCAGACATGAGTGCTGGTAAGAGGAACAAATTTATTTCTAGAAACTGGCAGTGGCCAGCAAAAACTACCCCTTTTTAAAGGGGTACTTGCAGAGGGCAGTTAGGAAAAAAAAAAACAACAGTGAGTCCAGTCAATTGATAATTATGCAGATTTTCGGACTTTGGTGAGGTTCCGTCTGGGAAATGGGCTTCTTGATGGACAGGTCTACCATTCCTAGCCCTCTCTCCAGGAGCTCCTGGAATTCTTATGCACACACTGTTCACAAGAGTAGGAGCAGGGAAGAGCCTTCATTAAGTAACAACTTGAAAAGTGGAAGGAAGACGTCTTTGTTACTGTTTACGTGATCACAGTTTAGCTTCATTCATGAGAGCCTTGTCCTAACAGACTGCCGTTCATCAAATCATTCCTTAATGAGCTGATTTTACAAGGGGCCCTCCCAGCCTGCTTTCCATGTGCACACTCCTGAGGTTCTCCAGGGCAGACCTTGGAAGCAGAGTTGCTGCACCTGTGTGTGGTATGAGGCAGGGATCTGAGTTGACACCATTTCTCTCAGCACTGTTTAGGGAATGGTTTACTTTTGGGGGAGGTGTATCGTTCTTTGCCTTCAGACTCCAATAGCATTTCTATCTTAGGCCAATTTTCCAAAAGCATGTTGGCTTCTGTAATGTAAAAGCAGGACCGAGCCTTTCGTCTTGTCTCCCTTAGTCCAAGGTGTCCTCGCCTGTCCTTTATCAAAAGGAATTCACTGACTTGAGGGAGTGAAACAGCTGGCCAGACAAGATTCTAATTACTGGACTCCAGGAGTCATTTGCTTCTACAATGGATCAGAACCTTGATGGCCAGTATTGTCCAGAGGAGTTTGTTTAGGGGGATTCCAGGTCTGGACAGAGCACAGCTGCCAACTGCATGTAACCCCCAGGCCAGCTGGAGCCCACTTGGATATCACCAATTCTATAAAGAGCACAGCACCAACCAGGGACTTGGACATGAGCTGGTCATGAACCTCTCTGCCCCAATTTCAGTCTATAAAAGCCTTCACCCTAACTCTTTGGGGATCCTGGGAATATAGCAATAGCCGCCCAGCTCCTTGCTTCGCACTCTACAGTAAACACCTGCTTTCTGCCCTGCCCCGTGTCGGTGATTGGCTCTGTGCGCCGGGCAAGCAGGCCCGGTTTGGGGGTTCTACAGCAATACCTCCAGCTGGTTTGTGGTGTTGTTTGGCAACATTTCTGGGCCTCTCTTCTGTTGTATTGTCTGGGGAAAGGAGCTGTAGGCTTGAGGTAAGAAGGTCCTCAGGCGGCCTTGGTCACAAAGGGGAAGAAGGCCTGGGCATGTGTCTGGGCCATTTTTGCTGGGTAGATCTGCTCCCTGGTTCCGGCCTCTGACCCCCAGCCACATCCTTCCATCCTGGGACCTCTGTACTCTATGCCAAGGTCCCCACTTCGGGACTTATGGTCTGAATTCGGATCCCCACTGTTAGAAAGCTTTTCATGTATTACTCATTATTATCCATGTTATCATTCTTATCTCAAGCCCCCCACTGCCATGTAAGCTCTAAAAAAAAGTAGCTGAGGCTGGGTAAGTCCTAAAGGAAACAGGTTTGTTCAGCTCACAGTTCTGGAAGTCTGAGAGCATGGTTCTGGCATCTGCTGAGTTTCTGGTGAGGACCTCATGGTGGAAAACACCTGGTGACTGTTTGCAGAAGAGAGGCCATATGGTGAGATAGGAGAGGCTGACACATTTTATGACAGCCTACCTGCTACCTACCACAAACCGCTCTCAGAGCAACCAGTCCCATCTGGGGAGACCCAGCGCTTTGGGTGGAGTTCCCGCGACCTGGTCACCTCTGAAAGGTGCTGGCATCTCTCGTTGCCACTGAATGGGGGACCAGGCCCCAGTGTGGGACTTGGGGGGAACAAACCACAGCAGATGAGATGTTCTTGCCCTTTCCTGGATTTCCCTGGTTTTGTTCTTCAAGGAGCTTACTTCCCTGGGTGAAAAATGGAGTTTCCTTTTTGATGAAGGTGTAGAGTAAGAGGAGGAACTGGTACCTTACAAAAGAAGCTTGTTTAACTCGCAGTCCTGGAAGTTCAAGAGCCTGAGTCCAGCATCTGCCGAGCTCCAGGTCACGGCCTCCTGGTGGTAGGAGTACAGGTGCCTGCAGAAGATGGATCGCACTGAGAGGGCATCAGACGCAGACCTGGGAACCAGGTAGAGGGGAGACCTGGGAGGATTGGGAAGAAACTGTTCCATTGTTGGGTCTTTTCATAGACGTGGAGTTTCTGGATCTTTTTTAAGAGGAAAAAATACTAAAAATGAATTTATTAATTTAAGTGTCACTTTAATTATTATTGAGAATTATGAATTTTTCATTTTAGAAAAGCAACTTGATTGGGATAAGGAATGTTCAACTTGATACTGTAATCTCTCTATTCTGTTGAGGAACAGTACAGTATACATTACAAAGAAGAGATGCTATCCAAAAAATACATCTTAGAAGGTGTCTTGAATATGAGGTAGAATTAGGATGGACATCTTGGGACACGATGGTCCTTCTCTAGTGCTTGTTTATATGCCTGTGGAACTGTGGACTTGCTGTGTTTTACTTGTTGAATATTATGGTTAGTGGTGACTTAAGCCTGTGCATTAAAATTATGTCTTTACGAAAACTGATGAAAGAGAAGGGAGGGAGTGAGGGTGAGGGTCGTGGGGGACAAGGTTGGGAGGGGGAAATGTGGCCGTCTTCTTGGAACTGTATGAAATACATGAACTCTGTCCTCTTTATATTAATAACATTTAAAAATACTTTTATTGCTTTCAGAAATAAGAGCCATATTATATTCAAAGGATTATAATTAAATTTCCATAGAAATAATACCTTAAAACTTATGTTTTTCTTTTGAAATTTCTAATTTTTAATTATTAAAAATTTGTAAGCATTTTGCCACATTTACTTCAAATGTAGATATTATTTACATACACATGTGTATCATTTCTTTCTTGCAAGCAGATACTAATATCACACAGTGAGGGATTCCTGATAATGATCATGAAGTAGGAAAGACGAGCATATTGTCATTTACATGGTATGATCCAGTGAGGCAATATCAAATGATATGACATCCACACATGTTTTATAACCTCTGTATATATTAACTTCCACAAAGAAAACATATTTGTTTTTCTGATTCTGGCTTATTTCACTTATCATAATGATCTTGAATTCCATCCATTTTGTTGCAAATGTCAAGGTTTCAGTTTTTATGGCTAAGTAGTATTTCATCATGTATCTGTACCACATTTTCTTTATCTAGGATGTCTAGGTTGATTCCTTATTTTTGCCATTGTGAATTGAGCTGCTGTCAACGTGGGAGTGCAAGTAGCTCTTTCATATGCTGATTTCATTTCCTTTGGATACATTCCCAGAATTGGGATAGCTGGATCAAATGGAGATTTATTTTTACCTTTCTAAGGTATCTCCATATTGTTTTCCATAACAGTTGTACCAGTTTGCACCCAACTTTCTGACACCCTTGCGAGCATTGGTTAGTTTTTGATTTTTGGATAATAACCATTCTAACTGGAGTGAGGTGATACCTCATTGTGGGTTTTATTTGCATTTTTCTGATAGCTAGTGATCCTGAATATTTTTTCATTTGTCTTTGACCATTTGTATTTCATCTTTTGAAAAATGCCTGTTCATATCCTTTGCCCATTTCCTAATGGATTGTTTGTTTTGTTGTTGAGTTTTTTGAGCATCTCCTATACTCTGGATGTTAGCCCTTTATCAGGTGCATAGTTTGCAAATATTTTCTCCCATTCTGTCAGTTGCCTCTTCCTTTTGTTAATTATTTCTTCTGCTGTGTTAAAGTGTCTTAGCTTGCTGCAGTCACACTTGTCTATTTTTTCTTTCATTGCCAGTGTTTCTGGGGTCTCATCATTACTGTATCACCATGTAAACAAACCGTGGAGAGCAGTCAAGCAGTGGTTAGGGTAAACTCAAACTTGAGTTCACGTCTCATTTTTCCTCTGAGTTGTGTTACATGGGGCCCATTTTTGTTTTATATGCACTACTATTTTTGCAATAGAAAATCAGCTTTATTTGGTACCTCCTTCAGGGAGTTGTTATGAAATGAATGATTCAAAGCCAAGCCACAAAGTGCCATCCTTTCTCCCTGGCTGTCTACTCTGTCCCACGAAACCTGGCAAATGGTGACCAAGCCATGGAGCTGCGGTTGGGATATGATTGGACCTCTTACTCATACAGGATTTTAAGCCCCAAAGCTGTAAGTTGGTGATACTAAGAGGGCAGCAATTTAACCTAATTACAGTGTGCAAGAGATGGGGTCTGGTGGGAATTTCTTAGGTCCTGGAGGTGTGGAGGTGAACGCCATGTAAGGCATTGACAGAAAGTCCTGCAGAGCCAGGCACCCCCGAGATGACACTTGTGCTCGGGACCCTCAGTGATTATTGGATCAGTGCTTGGTTGTAAAAGTCCTCACCATCAGGCAGGTGGCGGATGGTGTCTGAGCTGTGGGAGCAGAGCATGCAGGGGAGAGCTTTCCAAGCTGTCAGTCGGTTTCTTGTGACTGTAACAGAATCACTGAGGTGGCTTCCTCATAAAGAGACAAAGCTTGTGCAGCTCTCAGGGTTGGAGGTTCAGAATTCCAACAGCCTGACACAGACTAAGGCTCTGGCAAGGGGCCCATGGCCGATGGCAGCACGTCCACAGAGGTGGGATTGCATGGTGGGCCAGGAAGCAGAGCGAAAGAGGGGCTGGGTCTCGACACAGGCTTCCAAGGGCACAGCCCCAGGGACCGAACTTCCTACCAGGCCCCAGCCCCCAGGCACCGTCATTAGGTTAAATTGCTACCCTTTTAGTATCGCTGACTTAGTGCTCAGGAGTTTAGAGGCCTATATGACTTTAGGGGCCAAATCATGCAAATCATAGCACCATGGCTTGGTCACCACTTGCCAAGGCTCCTTAGGGACAGTGTAGACACAGCCATGGAAACAAGATGGCACACTGCTGCTTGGCTTTGGATTTAGACTTTTGGTCCAGTTCAGACTGGGATCAGTGCTCAAGAAAACTCACTCTCTGAGGCCGGCACTGTGGCATAGCAGGTTAAACCACCATCTGTGATGCTGGCATCCCAAATAGGCACCGGTTTGTGTCTAGGCTTCTCTACTTCCAATCCAGCTCCCTGCTAATGTGCCTGGGAAAACAGCAGAAGATGGCCATGGGAGAACCAGAGAAAGTTCCTGGCTCCTGGCTCTGACCTGGCCCAGTCCTCCTGTCCATTGCAGTCATTTGGGGAGTGAACCAGCAGATGGAAGATCTCTCTCTCACTCTCACTCTCTCTCTCTATGTGTTTGTGTGTGTGTATAAAACTCTACCTTTCGAATAAATCAGTAAATCTTAAAAGAAAAGAAAAGCTCACTCTGGCTAATTAAATAAGATGGTTCTCTGAGAGCCAGAATCATTTTCCTAGTCTCCAATGACACTCAAGGTGTTGGGGATCCTGAGTTCAAAGTCTTGGGGTCCTTGCCTTGCAGCTGTGACACCCAGCAAACCCCAGCCTTCCCATGCCCCCTCCTCTTCTTCTGTGACCTGGTTTGTCCTGGTTTAAATGAGAGGTTTTATGCAGCAATGTTGTTTGACCTCACACAGAACAGCAATAAAATAGCTCCCATCCTCCTCCCCTGTGAAGTCAGAGGAGCTCTGGATCCTTCTTTCTGCCTGTGGGGAGCAAGTTTCACTTCATAATAAAGTAAGGTGTGAGTACAGATGGCATCACTGGCTGAGACCTGCCGAACCCTCCATTCCCACCACCGCGCCCGCTGTCACAATGTCGCTTTGTCACCGTCAGCCCTTTCCGCGGAGGGCGTGCGGGGTTGTCCGTCCCAGGACCACTGGATACACATGGGGCAGTGTTCTCAGGACTTGCATTCTGGCAGTTTTGGGCGATGTTTACCGGTCCTCCTTTCAAACTGTTCCCTTTGGCCTTGGCCAGCTTGGCAAACGTGTCCCTTTTGCCTCCCCCGAGTCTTCCAGGCACGGACAAGGGCTGCTTTCTCCTTGAAAGGATTTCATTCGGAGTCCTTCTTGGCTTCCCCACAGCAGTTTCCGTGGGCTCTGCCAAATCTCCACTTCCTCGGTTTGCGTTATTTAGAGATTGACTTCCAGTGTCCAGCCTTGGCCCTGATTCTGGAAATAAGCAGCAAGCCCCTGGCAGTGCTGGGACTCCATTTTGGGGGCACAAAACATGGGTTTGCTCTGGTTTCCATCTTCTCTGCTCCTCCAGGCACATCAGCTGTTCTTGCCCGAGTTCATCTCCTACTTGAGTTTCACTAGCATCCGTGTGAATTCAGGCTGAGGAATTGGAGTGTGTTTCTCTATTGTTCTTATACGGTGGTTCAAGTTAAAAGAGAAGCAATGACGGTTTAAAATATAAATCTCAAACATGTAAACATCAAATCCATGTTCCTCCTCTTATTTGTGGTTTTGCCCTCCCTGGTTTCCATTACCTGCAGTCAAATCACAGTCTGAAAATAGTAATATTTGTCTTGTTGCTTTTGAGACAGTGATCACATTCACACACTTTTATTCCAGTACCTTGTTATGCCTGTCCTGTTGCATAATTATTATTGTTCATCTGTTACTGCGCCCAATTTATACCTTAAACTTGGCCCTGGGTGTGTATGCATAGGAAAAAGTCATATTATGTAGACAACTCAGTGCTATCTGCAGTCTCAGGCGTCCACTGGGCTCTTGGAACTTGTTTCCCCGTGGAGTGGGTGGGGCAACTGTACCTTCACAGTGGCACAGTGGGTCGGGCCTGTGATGGAGGCCAGTCCTGGGGAGACAGGCTTGAAGCAGATGGAAACTGCTCATCTTCACTTTCTATCCTGTGCCTGCAACAAACATCAAAGTCTAGTTCTCAGTACTGCTGCATCTTTCTAAATGTCAAGAAAAGCTGTCGGGCCCAACAGGCTGATGTAGGCTGGGAGCCAGGGGCAGGACAATTGGGTGGCAAGAGGAAGGTCTTCCTTCTGATGGGGTGCTCCCCCAGGGTGCCAGGCAAGGGAAGTGAGCCGGCCACATGAAGAACAGCTCCGGAACAGCCCTGGAGGGGGCCAGGCACTTGTCTCTGGATTCTTTGGATTAAACATTCTGAGAGGCCGTGGGGGATGCTGCACCTGCTACCTTGTGTTGCAGGAGTTGAGGGCTGAGGCTTCACAGCTGAAACCTTAAGGAGGTAGAAGTTGCCCCCTGGGGCTCCCCAGTCTGCGCCCCATGTCTGTGCTCTCTGCTGTGTCTCAGGACTGCTTTCTACAGAGCTCGCACATTTCCCGGGCTCGTGACACTGCAGGACACTTTGGAAAAACCAGACTCACAGTAATGTTTTCTCACCGTGGTGCACGCACACACACACTCATGCATGCACACATATGCACACACTTGTACACATTGCATGCACACACAAACACATGCACGCACACGCATTCACACATGCACACATATACACACATGCATGCATGTATGCACACACACACTTGCACACACCCATAACAAAAGGGCTCTTTCATGAGCGTTCAAGCACCAGATTCAACCCTGGAACAGGTGGCCTGTGACCTGCTTTGCTGCATCCCCAGAGGGCTCTGAGAGTCCCTCAATGTCCCCTTGGGTTCTCGAAGGACTGCCAGGGACTGTTGGCTCCATATCTCTGTATGCCACAGGGAGACCCTCGAGCCTCAGGACTGAAGGTCAAACCCTCCAGCTCCAAATCCCAAGTACTGTTGGTGGCCTTTGCTCATCTCTCCTTGCCATTGTCTGCA